AGAGACACAAAACAGTGCTGTGGCTGTATTCGGGATGATTTTTTTTGGCGAAATAGAGCAAAAACAAGCAATATGGTGTCTAAAACGTAAGTCTCTTAATTAACTTATTGTTTATTGAATTCAATGTCACATTTGTAATCATGGTAATTTTTGGAGAAAAACGGCACTCTTCGTGTGAAATTGAATAACTATATGAAGTGGTATAAATATATAAATTTTCTGCCATCATGTCTTGAATTTGTGATCATTCTAAATGCATTTTAATAGACTGAATCATGCAGTGAAAGAAAACACACTAAATGCGCACATGCACTAGTCTAGATTTCACGTAATGTATGCGTGCGCTCTGTAGGGATGTTTTGAATGGTTTTTGCAAAATACTCGATAATGTCAAATCGCACATCGTTAAAACAACAATTACGATATTATCGCAGACGATATATATCGCACACCCCTAGTTCACACACAGTTCGGTTATTTACGGGCGTGACAACTGCATTCTGTAACCGAACTCCCACCCGTAAATTTTCAGGACTCACAACCGCATTCTTGGAACACACGCGCTGTGTGAACGGAACAGGACTGGACTACTAGTTGTCTGTCACGTCATACAGTGCGAGAGAGAGACGCTCTGCCGCACAAACGTGTGTCTAACGTATGTTACATGTTTTCACGTGCGTTTTCGGTAAATTACAGTGACGGAGAAATGAGCTGCGTGTCATCTGAACATTTTAGAGCCCGTCAGTTTTCCACCAGAGACTGGTAAGGAATACGGGCTTAACTCCCGTTGCACGTTCATACAGACAGTATTCTAAACAAAACTGTAAGCTGCTGTGTGAACGGGACATTTCAAAACTCACACCTGTAAAGAAAATGCGGTTGTCAATCCCAAAAACTGACAGTGTGAATGTAGCCCTAGTTACTGTCAGAATCAATACTAGTATCTAATGAACCAACACCAGCAATAGCAGAGATATTGAACAAATATACTAGTCACTATTAAATTATATAGTAATTGTAGTAGTTATACAAGTAAATATAATAGTAATTAAACAACAGACACTAGTAACACAAAAATAAATCAACACAGTAAAAAATAAAAACAAAATAGCAAAAAAATAAACACATTTCAATTTTAGAATATTTAATGTTGCAATGTCTTGCCATAACCCTATACACTCAACATATACACAAAAATCAAACCCAACAACCCAGATGAATCTTACTTACTGCCAGTTGAAATGTGCTTTTGCTTCCTCAAACCCATAATCTTCATGATCATGGAGATACTCTGCATGGGTGGATGTGTTCCACATTACCTGGAAGCATGCAGAAAGGACACAACTTTATGAGCGTTTTTATTTGACAGCACTACTCACATTCACCTAATCAATTTAGTGTAAGGATAAAGGGAAAAACAAATACCTTTTTAGGAACACAACCAACATTCACCTGTAGAAGAAAGAGAAGTTGTTTAATGAACCAAGTCAATAATATCACCAGACAAACATAGGTGCTGGTGCAAACCATTACACACAAAAACACCCCACAAAAAGCGCTGGATCTGGAGGCTTCCCAAAGCACCTCTGTTAATTGTGACTAATGCAGCGACCAATTACTGTAAATAACTCGTCTAAAGAACACATCTACGTGGCTCTAAGGGAAATGTGGTGTTGCAGGAGCAGGACGGTCGTTACTCACGCAGGTACCTCCGAGTTTGTTTCTTTCGATCACGGCTGCAGTGGCACCGAGTTCAGCCGCCCGCCGCGCACCGGCCAGCCCTCCGGATCCTCCGCCAATCACCAGAAAATCAAAGCGCGTAACGGATTCAGAGGCCATGCTGCGACCGAAGAGTCTACGAGTACGAGAAGATGACAGCGAACGTCCAACAGTAAGAAAAGCCGCTCGCAGTCGAGCCAGAGGGATTAATATCTCCATAAACAGGAAGCCAACACCCCGGCCAACGCAGTAGTTGAACTAATGGGAGGGACGTGAAAGCCTGTGCGTAGTCATTTTGAATTGACACAATAGTGTGTAAATCCCAGAAGCAAATTTGGACAATAGTCATCATAGTTACCCATGCTTATTAAAGTCCTTCACTGTCAATCCCATCCCCAATATCCAGGGTGCTGAACTTACTTTGAACTCACTTGGCGCCTAGTCATGTTGAAACAGACAACAGTCTGCTTTATTTGATAATGTGCAATATTTCGTAAATAAAAAACAATTCACTGAACACAAACTCACCGATGAAGTGCAGCCGTTACATATATACCTGTAGCGGAAATCATTTTGCAGTACATTGTAAACATGTAACATATGAAGTGTGGTTAATTAGAGGTGCTGAGCTACAAACTCAGTTATATATGTGTGTATATATGCTGCCCATCTTCGTATTCATGCGGTAGTGTTTATAACGGAATGTGTCGATGTAAACTGAAGTCAGAATGAAAGCTACTATACGCTTAGCTAAACTGAGCATGCGCGTTTCAGCGTGCTGCCACTGAACACAAACACATTATGACAGAGGAGGCGTTATATTAATATACACTGGAAGGAATGGAAATTAGTATTGTTTTCGGTAGTCATAGCGTTCAGAATTTTTGGGGTCAGTAAGATTATTTCTAAATAAAAAACTTTTTATACTAATGCAATTACGCATTGAATGTATCAAATATGACAGTAAGGACATTTGCAATGTTAAAAATGTTATTCTTTTGAACTTTCTATTAATCAAAGAACTCTGACAACTGCTTTCAACACTGATAATATTAAAAAATGTTTCTTGAGCAGCAAATCGGCATATTAGAATGATTTCTGAAGAATCGTGTGACTGAAGACTAGAGTAGTGGCTGCTGCTGAAAATCAACATTGCTATTTTAGGAATAAATTACGTTTTAAAATATAATAAAATAAAAAATTATTTTAAATGACAATATTTCACAATATTACTATTGTTCACTTTTGAAGAAATAAATGCAGCATTAGTGACTTCAAAAACATAAAATCTTTCCGACCTCATTTGAACAATCGTGGCATTGTTGTGTGTTCTGTTAACACTTTATTGGGCATATCTAAATAAATACATAACCATATATTTGAATGTATTAATTTGCAGTTTGTGGTTCCTTGTGCCAATTACAACATTTGGGGTTTTGTAAAAACCTCTACCAAGTAATTAAGATGTCCATGAATAGTAGAGGGAGGGTAAGTTGGTACATTTGTCAGCTTTCTGTACTGACATAGATCATTCACACTGAAAAAAGCATTACCACTCCAAATATTTTAATGAAATTCGTTAAACGTGAGAAATCTTCACATGGCAGACAGCAGACTTGCTCATAGTCACACAAGTCAAATATCATTATCACGTATAAATCCTCAACAGTTTTCCAAAACAAAAATAAATCTCTATAGAACTTGCCTTCACATGTACCATGGTATCCAGTAGCAGGAGCAAAACAAGCACTTGCCAGAAGACACCTGTATTTCAAATATTTATGACGAACACAATAAATGAGAGGATAAATCTGAGTGATGCATCATATTAAGGCACTTTATTAAACAACTAAACTGAATCAAAGTGATTAATTGGCAACAAGTCAGAAATCAATTTTTCACATAAATATTTTCTTTATAACTTCTAACAGAAACAAGAAGTTAGAGATGGACGCATCCTCAGCTGAGCGATTTCACTGGTCATTCTCATAGTCTGCATGGTTCTTTTTTTTGGTCTGTTCATGAACATGATTTCCCCATGTGTAGGTCAGGTACATCAGAACCATGGCTGTAAACAGAGATACAGGTTTATAGAGAAGTTTAGTCACACACAATGTTCACTTCAATTTAGCTACCACTATAGATTATATATTTAAAAAATAATTAATTTTGGACAAAGATGACTTACGTGGTGCAACCTTGAATACAGATGTTTTGAATCGTCTCCAAACATTTGGGATTCCCTTAGAAAAGTAGTTTGGGAAAGCCCTCTGCTCAAAGGGAGAAATACTGTAGGTGATCACATGCCTTATCTTGGCCAAATCTCCGAAGTGACGACCCATTGTGCCAAAAAAGTTGATCTAAGAGAAATTAAATTCAAGGTTCACTTGAGTAATGTTTAAAATAAAATAAGCATACACTTCCTAGACAGCAGGAACATTTCACTGTCTATAACTGAATCAATAAATTTAAATAAATTCTACATTTGAACAATGTTAAAAACAGCTGTATAAGCTCACAGGAATAAATTAGTTTTTTTGATTATACATTATAAATACATTAAAAATATTTATTTATTTTATTTAAATAAATTATAAATTAATTACAACCATAAGTTTAATTTTCCTATTCAATATTAATCAAAAAAATTAATAATTTGTATCGTTGAATTTCCTATTGTATCCATTCAATAATTAAATACAATATATCGTAAATTTGAACAACGTATAAACAGCTGCTGTACATGAACAAAACCAGGCTTAGAATACAATACTGTAAAATATATCAAATGTTACATATTAAAAACGTTCATACAATTTACTACGTGGGAATTGTATAAACTAATATAACGGAACTGATAAATTCAATATTACTTTGATAAACACGACTCAAACGCAACCGGTTGCATAAACTGTTTAGACTAGTCTTAAAAAGTTAGTCATCTAATTTTTTTTCTTCAAGACTGGTCATAACTTTTTTTTAATTCAGTTATGAAAAGGCAGATTGGTCTTATTTGCATTGGAAAGTAAGACTGATTACCCCTTGGCAACTGCTAGTTGGTCAAACTACTGTCTTAAGACAGTCTTAACATGGTGGCTAAGTTTATGCACATCATCTAGCAAAGATGAAAGATATGAATGAATAAAATATCTACCATTTCTTAGCATAGAGTGCAGACAAAACTCATTTATACATGTATAAGTAGCTTTACGTGGCTAGGCTAGCAGCTTTCTGTAAGACCTTGCTTGACATTCATCTCTATCGCAGTCTCTGTTTATACATTTATACTTCACAGACATAACGTTACATGCAATTGCTAAATTTAAATTAAGACATTGTCGCAATTTTTACCTCACCAAAATAAAAATACAAGACAAGGAAAGGAAAGCTTTTTCTGCTGACCAACCTCACTGCTCTTTGACACCCTCGTCGTGCGATGGATTCTACAACTTCCGCCTGCAACCTTAAGTCACATCCGTTTCCGCTTGATTTCTCGCTTTCTCATTGGCGCTCCGTTCTACTGTTTCCTGGCTATCGAGACACGTGAAGGTCAGCATAGCGCTGGAACAGTGTACACAGTTGTCAAATATCACCATTAAGCGATTATTTGCAGCATTTGCCATTGTTTTCCCCAATGGATAATCAAGGAGTCACAGCAGACCCTCAACTGCAGCAGTTTATCGAGATCGAGTCTCAGAAGCAGAGGTTTCAGCAGCTGGTTCATCAGATGACAGAAGTGTGCTGGGTGAGTGTGTGTGTCCTCCTACTGGGCTGCATAATGCATTACTTCATGAGGATGTATAAGACAATGAAAGAAAATCACTTTAGTTGTTCGCAAGTTTATATGATCTATAGATGTTTTTTATGTAGTTTAAGTATTAAGTAAAATGTTCTGCCCTCTTTTTTTCGCGCAGCTTGTGACTCTTTATTATATAAAACAGTTAAAACATATTTTCATATTTTATTTTTTTATATTATTGATTTGTTAAAATAGCTATTTATCTTGATTATACACGCACACATACAAAATACAATTCAAAGGGTTGGGATAAGTAAAATTCACAGCTCTCCCGAGGCTGAATTTATTTGATCAAAAACTTATTTGTAAAAATGTGATTTATTTATTTGTTGGCAAAGTTTGTTTTCAGCAGCCATTACTCCCATCTTCAGTATCACATCAGCATACGCTGATTTACTGCTCCAGAAACATTTCTTTGTTGAAAGCAGTTGTGCCTCTTAATAGCTTGTGTGTGTGTTGGAACTGATTTTATTAGGATTCTTTGAAGTTCATAAGAACAGCATTTATTTGAAATAGAGTAACATTATAAGTCTTTACCGCCTTGCAGAATAAAAGTATTTATTTACGGAAAAAAAAAAAAACTTACTGACCTCAATCTTTTAAACAAGTGTATTTATTGTTATATTAATTACTTGTTAAAAGAGCTGAATATCATGAGATGCATCAAGATCATCAGTTATGGGTTTCTTTGCAGCTCATAGTGTGTTTTTCTTTGCAGGAGAAGTGCATGGATAAGCCTGGCCCGAAGCTTGACTCCAGGACAGAGGTGTGTTTTGTAAACTGTGTGGAACGATTTATCGATACAAGTCAATTCATTCTCAACAGACTAGAACAAACTCAGAGGAGTAGAGGAACCTTTTCTGAGACCATGACAGACTAGTAGAACCACAGCCAATGACAAGACCGCATCATTCAGCCACTTACTGAGGCTTTGGCAGGCCAATGTGAGAACTGTGAGGCAACAGCTATCGACAGGATTCAATTCATTTCTCAAAGACAAAGTGCCTCATTTTGCGGTTTATTATTGTAAAGGCCATATATTCAAAATCAAATGGATGCATGTCCCAGTCCCATAGCCTGTTTACAGTCACTGTCGATATTGACTTTTCCCAGTGCTAAGACTTTGGTATGAAATCAAGGAAACATCATGGAACATCAACTGAAAGGTGCCTTTGTACGGATCTGATCTGGAATTTAGGAGGAGGTTCTGCTTTCGCTTTCTCTTCAACTTGCATACCAAGTCTGCACTCCATTGTCTTACTGGGAACGCTTCAAGATCTGTGGCTTATTCACTGTGTGTTGAAATGTGGACTTGAAATAAAAAGATAAAATACCTCCTGCAGTTATTCATATGATGTATAAAAATGAGAAAGCAGAGGTAAAGTTAAATACTATTAGACATCTCAGAGGTTTCAGTGTCCTATTTATAAAAACAGATTACCGGGCACTTCATAACATATATATAATAAAAATC